GGGATGGTGCGGGAGGAATGGGATGGTGCGGGAGGAATGGGATGGTGCGGGAGGAAGGAAGGGATAGGAAGAAGACTACCAGAGTCATCTCCTTGGGCTCGCCACTGACCAGGCTGAGGGTAAGAGTGGGAGGGAAAAGAGGATGGGTGTGAGAGGAAAGGGATGGTGCGGGAGGAATAAGAGGTGAGAGCAAAGGACTGGAGGAAGGAAGTCTCTGAAAGTCATCTCCTTGGGATCTCCGTTGACCAGGCTGAGGGGAAGAGCGGGATGGGGTGATGGGAGGGAAACGGGGATTACAATAGGAGAAATGGGAGGAACGGGAGAGGGGAAAGGGTTTGGAAATAGTCTCCCAGTGCCGTAACAACCACAACTAATACCCCACCCATGTATACGAGAACCTGTCGCTCACCCCACCAGGTCGCAATTGAAGCCTGATTGTACAGCGATGCCAGCACAGCCATGGGCGTGGCAAGGCAATGACACACTTTGTCTCCCCCACCAGCTCACCCCACCACTCACTCACCCCACCACTCACTCACCCCACCAGGTTGCAGCTGAAGAGGGACTGCAGCTGCGTGTGCTTGTACAGCGCCAGCACAGCCATGGGGGTGGCAATGACACACTCCTTGTCACCCTTACCACCTCACTTCACTACCACGCTACTACCACTCACCCCAACGCCACTCACTCACCCGACGAGGTTGCAGTTGAAGCGCGACTGCAGCTGCGTGTGCTTATACAGCGATGCCAGCACAGCCATGGGGGTGGCGCCGCGCTTCACCTCCACCACCACGCGCATGCCCCCGCGGTCGCTCCCTTTCCCTCCCGTCGACGCTCACCCATGACTGCCCCAGTGCTTGTGTCCACTGCCATACCCCGTACTGAAGAGATGTGACAGCCAGCCACACCCACACACAAGAAACGGATCCTTTAACTCACCCCACCAGGTTGCAGTTGAAGCGCGACTGCAGCTGAGTGTGTTTGTACAGGGAAGCCAGCACAGCCATGGGCGTCGCCCCTCGCTTCACCTCCACCACCACGCGCATGCCCTCGCGGTCGCTCTCGTCGCGGATGTCACTCACCCCCTCCACCACCTTGCTGTTCACCAACTCTGCCATCTTCTCCACCAGGGCGGCCTTGTTTGTCTGGTATGGCAACTGTTTGAATAGGGGATGGGGGTGGGATGAGGGGAGGAGAAGGTATCAACACAAGCTGACCCCCCCAGTCGCTCTCATCTTGGATGTCACTCACCCCCTCCACCACCTTGCTGTTTGGGAAGGGGGGGGGGAGAGATACTCACAATTCAACAAGCACATATACAGTCCCACTTCCCACAACCACTCACGCACCTCTGTGATAACAGTCCCCAGCAGGTTGCCTCTGCTCCCTGCTCCCCTCCTCCCAGCTCCTCCACATACGCCCTCCTCTGCGCCACTATCACCCTTCCCACCACAAAAAGCCTAAGAGTCGACACAAAACTCAGCGACCACCCACAATCACGCACCTCTGTGATGACAATGCCAATCCGATTGCCTCAGCTCCCTGCTCCCCTCCTCCCAGCTCCTCCACATACGCCCTCCTCTGCGCCACTATCGACCCCCTTCCCATGCAATACACCGTAGAGTCGACACAAGACTCAGCAATCAACTATCAGCACGCACCTCTGTGATGACAATGCCAATCCGGTTGCCTCTGCTCCCTGCTCCTCCTCCGCCCAGCTCCTCCACATACGCCCTCCCCCGCACCACTATCGATCCTCTTCCTGTACGGTATGCCTCCTCCATGCTGCTCCGGGGGGAAAAGGGAGGGAAGCGGGAAATCAATACAGAGGTGCCCAGTTCCTCCACATACGCCCTCCCGCGCACCACTATGGATGGACCCCCTCCCCGTGTGGTATGCCTCCTCCATGCTGCCCAGGAAGGAAAACAAAGAAGGGAACTCCATTTCGGAGGCGCCTCAACGAAAAAAGCCAAGCTTTTGAGTCGACTCAAAAGTCACCTCGTTTTGAGTCAACTCAAGGAAAGGGAACTCCATTTCAGAGGCGCCTCAACGAAACAAGCCCAGCTCAATCGAGCATCACTATCAATCCCATTCCCTTGCGACTTTTGAGACGTCTCAAAACTCGATGGAGCATCACCAGCAATCCCAATCCCCTTCCCTTGCGGTATGCCTCCTCCATGATGCTCGGAGGAGTGGAGAGAAGAAGGGGAATGAAACACGTACCCCAACGTGCCCAGAATGACCCCTCCAGTGGGGAAATCTAGTTTTGAGGCGCCTCAAAACTAGATGTGCCCAGAATGACCCCTCCAGTGGGGAAGTCCTGGCCCTGACAGAAGAGCTCTTCTGTGGTGATGGCGGGGTTGCCAGCCTTCCGTGTAGGAAGATTGGTTTTGAGAAGTCTCAAAACCAATCTTCTCCAGTGGGGAAGTCCGGGCCCCCTGACAGAAGAGCTCTTCTGTGGTGATGGGGGGGTTGCCAGCCTTCCACCCACATGCCCTCCTCAATCTCAATCACAACTCCACAAGCAATACAGTTCTCACACATGCGTACCCTGATGTGCCCAGAATGACCCCCCCCAGTGGGGAAGTCCGGGCCTTGACAGATGAGCATGAGCTCGTCGGTGGTGATGGCAGGGTTGGAGCATGGCAACAGCTAACACACCTACTGCGCCACTGGGCAACTCCGAGTCATGTCCCGCCCCTCCCTCTCCGAGTCATGTCCCGCCCCTCCCTCTCCGAGTCATGTCCCACCCCTCCCTCTCCGAGTCATGTCCCACCCCTCCCTCTCCGAGTCATGTCCCACCCCTCCCTCTCCGAGTCATGTCCCACCCCTCCCTCTCCGAGTCATGTCCCACCCCTCCCTCTCCGAGTCATGTCCCACCCCTCCCTCTCCGAGTCATGTCCCACCCCTCCCTCTCCGAGTCATGTCCCACCCCTCCCTCTCCGAGTCATGTCCCACCCCTCCCTCTCCGAGTCATGTCCCACCCCTCCCTCTCCGAGTCATGTCCCACCCCTCCCTCTCCGAGTCATGTCCCACCCCTCCCTCTCCGAGTCATGTCCCACCCCTCCCTCTCCGAGTCATGTCCCACCCCTCCCTCTCCGAGTCATGTCCCACCCCTCCCTCTCCGAGTCATGTCCCACCCCTCCCTCTCCGAGTCATGTCCCACCCCTCCCTCTCCGAGTCATGTCCCGCCCCTCCCTCTCCGAGTCATGTCCCACCCCTCCCTCTCCGAGTCATGTCCCACCCCTCCCTCTCCGAGTCATGTCCCACCCCTCCCTCTCCGAGTCATGTCCCACCCCTCCCTCTCCGAGTCATGTCCCACCCCTCCCTCTCCGAGTCATGTCCCACCCCTCCCTCTCCGAGTCATGTCCCACCCCTCCCTCTCCGAGTCATGTCCCACCCCTCCCTCTCCGAGTCATGTCCCACCCCTCCCTCTCCGAGTCATGTCCCACCCCTCCCTCTCCGAGTCATGTCCCACCCCTCCCTCTCCGAGTCATGTCCCACCCCTCCCTCTCCGAGTCATGTCCCGCCCCTCCCTCTCCGAGTCATGTCCCACCCCTCCCTCTCCGAGTCATGTCCCACCCCTCCCTCTCCGAGTCATGTCCCACCCCTCCCTCTCCGAGTCATGTCCCACCCCTCCCTCTCCGAGTCATGTCCCACCCCTCCCTCTCCGAGTCATGTCCCACCCCTCCCTCTCCGAGTCATGTCCCACCCCTCCCTCTCCGAGTCATGTCCCACCCCTCCCTCTCCGAGTCATGTCCCACCCCTCCCTCTCCGAGTCATGTCCCACCCCTCCCTCTCCGAGTCATGTCCCACCCCTCCCTCTCCGAGTCATGTCCCACCCCTCCCTCTCCGAGTCATGTCCCACCCCTCCCTCTCCGAGTCATGTCCCACCCCTCCCTCTCCGAGTCATGTCCCACCCCTCCCTCTCCGAGTCATGTCCCACCCCTCCCTCTCCGAGTCATGTCCCACCCCTCCCTCTCCGAGTCATGTCCCACCCCTCCCTCTCCGAGTCATGTCCCACCCCTCCCTCTCCGAGTCATGTCCCACCCCTCCCTCTCCGAGTCATGTCCCACCCCTCCCTCTCCGAGTCATGTCCCACCCCTCCCTCTCCGAGTCATGTCCCACCCCTCCCTCTCCGAGTCATGTCCCACCCCTCCCTCTCCGAGTCATGTCCCACCCCTCCCTCTCCGAGTCATGTCCCACCCCTCCCTCTCCGAGTCATGTCCCACCCCTCCCTCTCCGAGTCATGTCCCACCCCTCCCTCTCCGAGTCATGTCCCACCCCTCCCTCTCCGAGTCATGTCCCACCCCTCCCTCTCCGAGTCATGTCCCACCCCTCCCTCTCCGAGTCATGTCCCACCCCTCCCTCTCCGAGTCATGTCCCACCCCTCCCTCTCCGAGTCATGTCCCACCCCTCCCTCTCCGAGTCATGTCCCACCCCTCCCTCTCCGAGTCATGTCCCACCCCTCCCTCTCCGAGTCATGTCCCACCCCTCCCTCTCCGAGTCATGTCCCACCCCTCCCTCTCCGAGTCATGTCCCACCCCTCCCTCTCCGAGTCATGTCCCACCCCTCCCTCTCCGAGTCATGTCCCACCCCTCCCTCTCCGAGTCATGTCCCACCCCTCCCTCTCCGAGTCATGTCCCACCCCTCCCTCTCCGAGTCATGTCCCACCCCTCCCTCTCCGAGTCATGTCCCACCCCTCCCTCTCCGAGTCATGTCCCACCCCTCCCTCTCCGAGTCATGTCCCACCCCTCCCTCTCCGAGTCATGTCCCACCCCTCCCTCTCCGAGTCATGTCCCACCCCTCCCTCTCCGAGTCATGTCCCACCCCTCCCTCTCCGAGTCATGTCCCACCCCTCCCTCTCCGAGTCATGTCCCACCCCTCCCTCTCCGAGTCATGTCCCACCCCTCCCTCTCCGAGTCATGTCCCACCCCTCCCTCTCCGAGTCATGTCCCACCCCTCCCTCTCCGAGTCATGTCCCACCCCTCCCTCTCCGAGTCATGTCCCACCCCTCCCTCTCCGAGTCATGTCCCACCCCTCCCTCTCCGAGTCATGTCCCACCCCTCCCTCTCCGAGTCATGTCCCACCCCTCCCTCTCCGAGTCATGTCCCACCCCTCCCTCTCCGAGTCATGTCCCACCCCTCCCTCTCCGAGTCATGTCCCACCCCTCCCTCTCCGAGTCATGTCCCACCCCTCCCTCTCCGAGTCATGTCCCACCCCTCCCTCTCCGAGTCATGTCCCACCCCTCCCTCTCCGAGTCATGTCCCACCCCTCCCTCTCCGAGTCATGTCCCACCCCTCCCTCTCCGAGTCATGTCCCACCCCTCCCTCTCCGAGTCATGTCCCACCCCTCCCTCTCCGAGTCATGTCCCACCCCTCCCTCTCCGAGTCATGTCCCACCCCTCCCTCTCCGAGTCATGTCCCACCCCTCCCTCTCCGAGTCATGTCCCACCCCTCCCTCTCCGAGTCATGTCCCACCCCTCCCTCTCCGAGTCATGTCCCACCCCTCCCTCTCCGAGTCATGTCCCACCCCTCCCTCTCCGAGTCATGTCCCACCCCTCCCTCTCCGAGTCATGTCCCACCCCTCCCTCTCCGAGTCATGTCCCACCCCTCCCTCTCCGAGTCATGTCCCACCCCTCCCTCTCCGAGTCATGTCCCACCCCTCCCTCTCCGAGTCATGTCCCACCCCTCCCTCTCCGAGTCATGTCCCACCCCTCCCTCTCCGAGTCATGTCCCACCCCTCCCTCTCCGAGTCATGTCCCACCCCTCCCTCTCCGAGTCATGTCCCACCCCTCCCTCTCCGAGTCATGTCCCACCCCTCCCTCTCCGAGTCATGTCCCACCCCTCCCTCTCCGAGTCATGTCCCACCCCTCCCTCTCCGAGTCATGTCCCACCCCTCCCTCTCCGAGTCATGTCCCACCCCTCCCTCTCCGAGTCATGTCCCACCCCTCCCTCTCCGAGTCATGTCCCACCCCTCCCTCTCCGAGTCATGTCCCACCCCTCCCTCTCCGAGTCATGTCCCACCCCTCCCTCTCCGAGTCATGTCCCACCCCTCCCTCTCCGAGTCATGTCCCACCCCTCCCTCTCCGAGTCATGTCCCACCCCTCCCTCTCCGAGTCATGTCCCACCCCTCCCTCTCCGAGTCATGTCCCACCCCTCCCTCTCCGAGTCATGTCCCACCCCTCCCTCTCCGAGTCATGTCCCACCCCTCCCTCTCCGAGTCATGTCCCACCCCTCCCTCTCCGAGTCATGTCCCACCCCTCCCTCTCCGAGTCATGTCCCACCCCTCCCTCTCCGAGTCATGTCCCACCCCTCCCTCTCCGAGTCATGTCCCACCCCTCCCTCTCCGAGTCATGTCCCACCCCTCCCTCTCCGAGTCATGTCCCACCCCTCCCTCTCCGAGTCATGTCCCACCCCTCCCTCTCCGAGTCATGTCCCACCCCTCCCTCTCCGAGTCATGTCCCACCCCTCCCTCTCCGAGTCATGTCCCACCCCTCCCTCTCCGAGTCATGTCCCACCCCTCCCTCTCCGAGTCATGTCCCACCCCTCCCTCTCCGAGTCATGTCCCACCCCTCCCTCTCCGAGTCATGTCCCACCCCTCCCTCTCCTGCATACGTACCCTGACGTGCCCAGAATGACTCCCCCAGTGGGGAAGTCCGGGCCTTGACAGATCTGCATGAGCTCGTCGGTGGTGATGGCGGGGTTGTCTATGAACGCTGAGAGCGCGTCGACGAGCTCGGACAGGTTGTGAGGTGGGATGTTGGTGGCCATGCCCACCTGCATGGTGTTCATGGGAATACAGAGTGGTACAGGCGGGTGGAAGAGGGAGCAAGGTGGTAGAGGGGGATGTGGGAAGGGCCAAGCAAGGTTGTGGATGAAGGCTGAGAGCGCATCCACGAGCTCGGTCCGGTTGTGGGCGGGATGTTGGTCGCCATGCCCACCTGGTGGGGTATTGGGGAGTGCAGGGTGATGCACAGGGATTAAGAAGGGTGCAAACGGGTGCAGGGTGGTACAGGAGTGGATGGGAAGGGCCAAACAGGGTTGTGGATGAATGCTGAGAGTGCATCCACGAGCTCGGTCAGATTGTGAGGTGGGATGTTGGTGGCCAGGCCCACCTGAAAGAAATACGGGTGTGAGGGAGTGAGGAAAGGGGTACAGGGTGTGAGGGAGTGAGAAGGGGTTTAGGAAGGTACTGGAGGGGACGAGAGGGGTGCGGAAAGGTACAGAAGTCGTCTCAAACGATTTCTTTTCTTGTGGCAACAGAAAAGGCAGACCAGCAGCGTACGTACCGCAACCCCTTGAGAGCCGTTGAGCAGAAGCACAGGGATGCGAGCGTGTGTTTCCTCAGTTGCCTCAGAAATCACACGAGTGCGGAAAGCAGCACTAGACGTACCGCGATCCCTTGAGAGCCGTTGAGCAGAAGCACGGGGATTCGCGCGGGAAGCACTGTTGGCTCATTGGTTGATGCATCGAAGTTGGGCGCAAAGTTAACCTGAGCGGCAGGGCGAGGAGCGGGGGGCGTGGAGATGGGAGAGAGAGGGGTGAAGAGAGATTGCCAATACATGCCCAGGTGAACCACAAGGTCATAAGCATATCTAACCCGAGAAAAGGTCGCCCCCTAAACCACAACTAATGTGTCGTCAGTCAAGTTGAGTCATAACAAACCCGATATACCAGCAACTGATATTGCCTGCAAGTGATAATGGACTTTAACCCCAGAGCCCCCATCATGCCTAGCCCCGACCCAGCTCACTGTGTCGCTGCGAATGTCTTCAAGAAGCATCTTCTCCGTGAGGGGCTGCAAAGGAGGAGGGGAAGGAAAGAGGGGAAGAGAGAAAAGGGGGAAAAAGAATAGGCGAAGGGAGAGGAGTTTGAGTAATGTGAGAATGAGTACGGGACTGGGAGCGGGAGCGTAAGTGAGCATGGAAAAGATTGGACAAGCTAAGTTGGTAGGACTAGAGGTGTGGTCTTGGCCTTAAACAATCTCGAATTACCTGCAGGCGGCACTCAGTGTAGCGCATGGCAGCAGCAGGGTCAGCATCGACAGACCCAAAGTTGCCGTGCCCGTGCACGAGAGGAGCACGGAGAGAGAAGTCCTGCGCCATGCGCACGAGGGCATCGTACACTGCCGTGTCGCCGTGAGGGTGGAATCGACCCAGCACCTGTGGGATGATTGTGAACAGGAGGAAGGGATGCAAGAGCGGCTCAGCGCGGAGAGAGAAGTCCTGCGCCATGCGCACTAGGGCGCCGTAGACTGCTGTGTCACCGTGTGGGTAGAAGCGGCCTAGCACCTGTTGATTACAGAAACGGAATGGATGGGACAAGACACATGGCAGGGCTCAGCGGAACACAATGGGAAAGTCCTGCTGTGTCGCCATGTGGATGGAATCGGACTAGCACCTGTGGGATGCACATTACTCAAAGGAGATGGGAGGGGCAAGATAGCACAGGCTAAGCGCAGAGAGAGAAGTCCTGTGCTATGCGCACTAGAGCGTCATACACCACAGTGTCACCGTGTGGGTGGAAGCGGCCTAGCACCTGTGGGATGTGATGGGAGTGGGCGCAAGGGGGATGAGAGACAGAGCAAGAGAGACAGCGTCACGTTGCAGAGAGAATCCATGCGTGCATCAGGGCGTCATAGACAGCTGCATTGCCGTGTGGGTGGAAACTGCCCCTGCACTGGTGAGATGTGATCGTTTGGCTGGGAAATAGGGCTGGTTCAGTGGCCAGGGCAGAGATGCTTAACGAGACAGGTCAAACTGAGAAATCGGGAGAACGACTGATAAGCAGACCAACGAACCAGCATAAAATGGAAAAATAAAACCAGCAGACACAGTGGGAGCAGCAAGAGCAGAGCAGCAGCGGCAGGAGCAGAAGAAGTAACTGCAGGAGGAGGAGGCTGTTAGGCAGGCAGAAAGGCCGACAGACGCACCTCTCCCACAACTCTGGCTGATTTGCGGAAAGGCTTGGATGACGCCAGGCCCAACTCGTGCATGGCATAGCTGGGGGAGGGGAGGCAGATGCAGTTGGGGGGGGAGGAGGGGGGGGTTTCAGGTGGACAGGGACGGTAGGACGAAGAGCATCAGATGACGACAGGATGACTCCAGAGTGACATCAAGATGACGCCAGGCCCAGCTTGTGGATAGCGTAGCCACTGGGAAAGCAGGAAAACATCACTCACAGAATGCGGCAGACACTGGCATGCTGCCTAACAAAGGCAGCTACAGGATGCGGCAGTGCACTGGCTTGAGAATCCATCTCTAGCATTGGAAAGAGCGCGGCCGACAATGACAGACATGGCACACGACACATACGACTGCACCGCCCATTGCCCTCTGATCTCTCACTGGCTCTATAAACACACTCACACACACACTCACAGGATGCGCCGATGCACGGGTTTGAGTCCATCCCTGGCGTCAGGCAGGGCGCGGCCGACAATGACGGACATGGCATACGACACATACGACTGCACCGCCTCCTCATGCAGCTCCACCTCCTCCACCTTGCCCGCTGCCCCTGCCACCACCACCGCCCCATTGCCGCTCCCTGCCCCTCTCCCACTCGCTCCCTCACTCCCACTCTCGTTCCCGCTCTCACTCCCGCTCTCGATCCCACTTTCAAGCCCACTCTCAAGACCACTCTCAAGACCACTCTCAATCCCACTCCCTCCCCCACTCTCACTCTCCACCTCCTCCTCTCCCTCTCCTCCCTCCAAACCCCCCACCTCCTTCCCCTTTCCAGCACCGCTCACAACCGCTTTCCTCGCCCCCTGCCGCTGTTCCCCACCCCCCTGCGCCTCCTCCCCCATCCCCTGCGTTCCCCTCACCGCCTGCACCTGAACCTGCCTCTGCCCCTGCCCCTGCTGCTGCCCGTGCCCCTGCTGCTGCCCCAGCCCCTGCTGCTGCCCCTGCCCCTGCCCATCCCTCTCTGCATCCAAGTCTTTGGGAGGGCGGGAACTGCTGGAGAAGGAGAAGGACGTCAGCTTGCGGGTCAGCAAGGGTTTATCACAGCCAGCTGCAGCGACGAGAAGCCGGTTGCCTGTCGAGCCGAGTGCTGCGGCTGGTGGGGAAATAAACCCACCGCTGCTTCCTCTCCTGCTAAACCCCGTGTGTTGAAGCCTGGTGGTCGTAAACCCTAACCCCTGAAACCTCGTCAGTGACTGGTGGTGTTCGTTGCAGCTATTCGAGTGGAAGTTGCTGCGAAGCTTCTCTAGCAACGACAGCGATGAAGAATATGCAGCCGACTGAGTGCTGCTGCTAAATTGGCATCCTAAACCACCACCGCTGCTGCCAATGCCTCTGTTGATGCCTCTGCCAATCCCTCTGCTACTGCTCATGCCTTTCATGCTAGCACAGGAGGTGGTAGGCAGGGAGCTGAGCCCCCTACACGCCAATGGCTCCATCCCAGCGCTCAGCAAATGCAAGCCTTGGGGATGTCGGAGAAGACTGTAGCAGCTGATGTTGCGGATTGGGCTGATGGACGGTGAGATCTGGGCTTGAATCGGGATCAACGGTCGAGATAGAGTGGAGAGAGGGGACGGCCTGAGGGCTGATTGGAGGAGGTGGGAGGAACGGATCCTGAGGTGGGCGATTGTTGCGCTTGGAGATTCTGCCACGTGGGCGATCCACGGCCTCGTCAGCAGTTTTGCCTGGAAAGAACGGGGGGGAAAGGGGGAAGGGAGGGGAGTGGCGGGGGGAAAGAAAGGAGGGAGACAACAGGGCCTGAGTGGCGGAGTGGGGGGAAGCATGGGAGAATGGAGGAGGGGATTGGATGGGGGGGAACAGGCGGGCAAAGGGGGATGGGAGGGGAGGGGAAGGGGAAGGTGAAGGGGAAGGGGGGATTGCGAAACGTCAGAGTGATCTCGCGTGGATGAAGCAGCGCTCTGCGTTGTCCGCTTGGAACGCAAATACTGCGAACAGAAGATACGTTGCAGGTGGGCAGCAGAGCGTGTGAATGTGGACAGGGTGAGTGATTGTGAGTGTGCGGATATTAAGTGTGACGGCGAGTATGGGGAGTGAGGCAGTGCGTGAGCGAAGTGCGGAAATGCAAGAGAGAGAGAGCGCGCGGCGACCGAGACATTGCAATCGGGAAAAGAAGCTGTATGGGTGAAAAGGTCATCGATCGCAGGGGAATTGTGGCGATGACGACCTTCGAGGTTCTCAGAGAATGCGCAGATGATCAGATTCGCGCGCGACTAGCAATAGGAAAAGGCGGGCGGAGGAAGGGCGAGAGCGCGTACTGATTGCATGCTACTGTCGGCGCCGAGATGGGTGCTTGGAAATCCTCTACCACGCGACGTGAAAGGCACACCCTAAAGCCCACCACGCGCGGCGCTGCTCAGCATTCCGATTGTCCCGCTGCTTGTTGCAAGGATTGATTGCACTCTTCCCATCCAAGCCCGAGCTACTTGAACTGCAGACGAGGGGTCCTTGAGAATCCGAGCAAGCGGCACCAAATTCGTGCTGGTGGTACAGAGTTTGGTTTGATGGTACAGTGACAGTATTTGAACACGTACATTTCGACTGACCGCTCCTTCGAAATATTCCAAGGACAACTTTTTTCACTTCCCCTCTCCCTGATCAGATTGCGCAAGCCTCCATCCAATCCAAACCAGCTTCCTTGTCTCACCTAGAGGCGAATCCTCTGAGCCTTTTTTCCGAGCTGACCTCTAGAATAACTGGTCACACACCCACCACCTTCGCGCTCCCGCCCGCATTTCACGGACGCTTTGACGCCATGGCCTCTCTCCTCGGATCGGCTACCAGCCAATGCCGCGTCCCCGTGCAGCACGCGCTGACACGTCAGCCAGCAACTCCCAATGCCGCTGGTCGAGCAGCCTTTTCGAGAAGGTCATTGGCGATAAGGTCGTCCGTTGACGATTCTGTCAACGGCAGACGTTCTGACCCTTCGTCGCAAGAGCATTCTCCCGCAGCAGCAGCAGCAGCGGAAACGGCGGGTGTGAGTCGTCGGTCAGTTCTCCTCGCTCCAGCTGCTTCCGCCGCTGCGGCTGTGGCGCTGAGCCTAGGGATTGCCGCGACTGCCGCCCCTGAAAGCGCGCAAGCCTTCGGCCTGGGTGCGTGCTTTGTAGGAGCGATGGAGCTCGGACCCTTTATTGACCCTTCGCATTTTTCATTCTCCATCCTCTCCACCTTTTCCGCCCTCTCAGCCTTTCCGTTCTTTACGCCCTTTCCGCCCTTTCCGCCTTCTACCCCCTTCCGCCCACTCCGCCCTTCCGCCGTATCCGCCCTATCCGCCCTTCCCCCACGCTTTGACCGCTGCACCGACGGAGTACTGCAGCTTGAAGAAGCGCAAGGCCATTGGGTGCCTCAAACACCTCCTGGTTACTTTCTTCTGGTTTCCCCCTCTCCCCACTTCCGCACCCCTTCATTCCCTGATTCACCTCACACTTCTCCCTGCCTCCCCCAATCCTTCCCCACCCCACCAGCGGGTCCCAAGGAGTGGCTCAAGGCGCAGAAGCGCAAGTCGATGCAGTTTCTCCTCAACCCCCTCATGGTCTCGTCCGCGCGCCTTGCAGCTGCCAAGGCTGAGTTCGGTGAGTACCTAGCTCGCTGTGTGACTTGGTGCGTGTGAAGTCCATTAAGGGGTGCGTGAGTTGGTGGATTCTGTGAGTCGGGTCAAATCTCAACCCTCTCGTGCTCTCCTCTGCGCGCGTTGTTTCTGCCAAGGCTGAGTTTGCCTCTTCCTCCTCTCTCCGTTCCCTCTCTCTCCACTCCCCGTTCTCACTCCAGTGCCACGTCTGACCTGGCGTCAGTGCAGACAGGAGTGCGGGAAGAGAGGCACAGGCCAACGCAAGTGATTTTTGAGAATTCTCAGAAATCACTCGCAAGGAAGAGAGACACAGGCCAACGCAAGTGATTTTTGAGAATTCTCAGAAATCACTCGCAAGGAAGAGAGGCACAGGCCAACGCACCCTATTCTCTCTCTCGCCCCCCGCTTTCCCCGTCCCGCTCCCATTCCCCCATCTCCACGGACTCATTACAGAGGCCTTCACCACCCCCTCTGAGCTGGCATCGGTGCAGGCAAGAGTGCGGGAACCCTCCCTTGACTGCCTCTCTTCCACCATCCATCACACCCTCTTGTTTCTCCTCTCCTCTCTCTCCCCTCCCTCCTCCTGCCCTACCCTCCATTCACTCACTGCAGAGGGCTCCACCACCCCCTCTGAGCTGGCATCGGTGCAGGCAAGATTGCAGGAACCCTCCCTTGACAGCCTCTCTTCCGCCATCCATCACACCGTCTTCTTTCCTCCCTCTCTCCGTCCTATCCACTCTTTCATTGCAGAGGCCTCCACTACCCCATCTGAGCTGGCGTCAGTGCAGGCAGGAGTGCGGGAAGCCTCCCTTGACTGCCTCGCCCCTGGCTTTACTCCTGGCGTGGAGGTGAGGGTGTAGCAGTGAGAGGCGCAGAGGTGAGGGGCGCACAGGTGAGGGGCATAGGGGTGAGGGTCGTTCAGTTGAGGGTGTAAAGTCAAGGGGCGTAAAGTTGAGGGGCGTATAGGTGAGGGGCGTATCAGTGAAGGCCGTAGAGGTGAGGGGTGTGAGCAGTGAGGGGCGTGGAGGTGAGAGGCGTCGAGCTGATGTTTGTAGTAGTGAGGGGCGTAGGGGTGAAGGGCGTGGGGGTGACGAAGCAGTTAGGGGTGTAGGGGTGAGGGTTGTAGCAGTGAGGGGTATATAGAGGATTGTGTGAGGGGTATATAGAGGATTGTGTGAGGGGTATATAGAGAATTGTAGAGGTAAGGGGCGTAGCAGTGCAGGGGGTAGAGGTAAGAAAGTATAGAGGTTGGGAGGATACACGAAGTGTGGCAATTTTTGGAATGTACAAGGCACAAGGGATTGTGGATGCCTTCTTATGGGATGGAGGAAGCCTTCTCATGAGCATCTCTCATGAGACAATGGTAAGCAATAATGCTCAACCCACACCATGCCACCAATACCATGCAAGGATAGCCTCTGAACTCGTCAGCGTTGGGTGTTATAGCCTTCAAATCCTCTTTGCGTCCACCGCCCCACCCTGTCTTCCGTCCTCAGTGCACGTTCAAGCTCATCCTCAAGAACGCCGTCACTCGGCTGAACTAGTTGTGTTTCGCATCACATTCAACGTTTCTGCGTCTAAACCCCCCCACCCCACCATCCTTCTTCCAGCTGTGCACGTTCAAGCTCATTCTCAAGAACGCTGCCTCTCTGCTGGATAAGTAGTGAGGCGCATCAAATCAGACGTCTTTGCATCAATCTGCCCCTCTGCCCCTTCGCCGCCATCCGTCTTCCAGCTCTGCACCTTCAAGCTCATCCTAAAAAACACTGCCTCTCTGCTGGATAAAAACGACCCGGCGCTCGTGCTGGGGAAGGAGGTGCTGCTAGACCTCATGACTGTTGGATGCCATAAGCTTCCCACCCGCTCTGCGTCCATTCCCCCCACCCGCCATCTATCCCACAGCTCTGCACCTTCAAGCTTATCCTCAAGAATGCTGCCTCTCTTCTGGATAAGAACGACCCGGCGCTCGTGCTGGGTGAGGAGGCGCTTCTCGACCTCATCTGGTGGGTGGCAGGGGGGCGAGAAGTGTGGGGTAGGGGGGGGGGAGTAGGATGTAGATGGATGAGCTTTCTTGAAACGTTTCAAAGGACGACCTGGCGCTCGTGCTAGGGGAGGGGGCTCTGCTGGACCTCATCTGGTGGGCAAGAGGGGGGGAGAAGTGTGGGGTAGGGGGGAGGGAGCGAGGTGTAAATGGATGAGGGTTGGGGCGGCTTATAGGAACTCTGTATGACCTCACTTCCGAAACCTGTCAAATCCTGCGGCTAGTTCCACGCTTTTTATTTTTTTTTAAATAAACCTCCCACTGAACTTCTTCCATTTCCTCCTCCTCTTTTTGTTTCCTTTTGGTGGCTAACGTCTTTCTTAACCCGTCAACATGACCAGGTCGTTCAGACAGCTGCATGGGTTGCTGGACGAGGCTCAGGGCTCCGACCCCCCTCCCCGGTGAGTTTCCGTGTCTCCGCTGCTTCATAGCCATGTCCCTCTAGCCTTTTACAATAAGTTATCATCATGTGCATATTCGCCTTGTAGCGGTGACTGGCAGTAGGAACAAGCCATTCCCACATGGTACTTGCAATTTTCCAACCATCCTTGTCGTACCGTACCAGTAGGGGGTCTGCTGAGTCGTGTCTACCGGCAGCCATGTCACCTTAACTGACCTCCTCGACCAGAATCAGACAAGACCTTGGCTTGTTCAAGCACGGAATCTTGTGAGACCCGCTGTCCCTGGCCTTAACACCTGCATTTTGTTTGGCAGGGAGTACATAACGGATGCCTTCAGCAATGTGCAAACTGCGTCAAAGTTTTTCCAATCAACCATCGAGACCATCTTTGACACCCCTGTTTGATTCTAGCCCTTGGACTTCAGGGCCTTTGCCCGTCCCGTTGCTGGACAACAATTTTGGCATGACCTGGAGATTCCCTCCTGCTTTTGACTGTTCAGCAGCTGTCTTTCATACAGTTTTTTGTTTTGGCTAGCTTTTCCGTGCAGAGGTGCTGTTGAATTGTTTAATCCAATGCTTGTGTGTACAGATCCTTGTGACAGCACAGAACTTCCCTGCAAACGAATGTTGGAGTCAGTAAGATTGATCAATGCTGAATCTCAACAGCAATGCAAACTGTACAGTGTCTGATTCTCAAGGGCGTGTGCCCAATCCAAGAATAAACTGGAACTTCTTGGACCCGCCACTCTCCACCTCCTTGTCAATCTTGAATGGCCGCAGCACCTTCACTTCTTGTAGACCTGCTGCCTTCATATCCCTTTCCAGCTCCCCCACATCCAGCCCGTGCTTCTCCACCTCAGCATGGATGTTGGAGGGGTGAAATTCGGCTGCATGAGGTTCTGCTTCGAAGTCTGAAATGGCGACAACCCCCGCGTGCTGCTTCAGGCAGCTCATCACGGCAAGAAGAGTTTCAGGAATACCTGGTGAACAAGGAAGCGGAGCCAGCATGAGGAGAAAGTTGGTGTGGACAAATGTTTCATCAACGAGCAGACATCGTGAAATGTCTTTACTCCAAGAATCGAAAACCGTAATCAATTTTGTCAATGGAAGACCTGGAGTTAACCATGTGGTTAAAGCGAGCAACTGACTCAGGGAGTGGTGGAGCGTGAGACGAGAGAAGGCAACATCGAATTCCTCTGCTGGTAGACGACTTTTGAGACGTCTCAAATGTGTTGGCTAATAGAATGTGGCTGAAACGAGCAACTCACTTGGGACATGGTGGAAGGTGAGATGGGAGAAGGCAACATCAAATCCCTCTGCTGGTAGCAGGTCCCCTAGCTGCTGTTGAGGGGTCTTGTCCGAGGTAAGCATGATCTGAACGGACTTCATTTTGTCGGTCAGACCGAGCTTCTCCGCCTTGGCATTAAACACATTCACCATGCCTGGACAATGAAAGCGGAATCCGGAAATTAATGCCTTTCAAAGTCACGTCCATTTGAACATCGCAATGAGCGTGAATTCCATCCTTCACGGGAGCTCTGAGCTGAAAGTAATGCGGATTTCTGGCGTTCTGAAGCGGAGATATCAGGCCCGCAACAAGCTACTTCTGTAAACGCATTCACACATCGGTGACGCGTCTACAATGTCCAACTTCCTTATACCTCGGCTCAACGTATCACGCGAATGAAAGAGAAATCATTGGTTTCAGAAACAAAAGACCAAGTCTTACCGATGGACGTGTCTACACCGACAACTTTGACGCCTTTCGCCGCGAGCATCTCGGAGCAAAGCCCAGTACCGCTGCCAACTTCCAGAACGGTCGTGCCTTCCTTTACGGGAACATTGGCTAGAAGGTGCTCCACGGCCTTAGCGGCCATTTCGCGATGCAATGGTTTGTCGTCCCAGTGGCCGGACTGCTCATCGAAAAAGGTGTTTCCATGACCAGCCATGACGTCTCTGTCCGGAGATCCTTGCTTCGCTCCGTTGGTTTGCGCGGACTTCAGTGCGAGAAGTAATATAGGTTGCAGTGCACGCTGCAAGCGTAGCTCTCGGGAGAAGATATGGTCAAGGGACAGGTAACTACTATAACTTGGTAGCTACGAAAAGCTTGAATTTGCTTTCTGTTCATCATGTTGGAGTTTCCCGCGAAAGTTTGGATCAGAAACAGTGACCCGCGTCTCACGCTTGAAGTTCCTGTGTCTGGCTTTTCATTGCATTGCGATGGTGTCATACGATATCATGTACTTCAACTCACAGTCGCGGACAATCGAAGCTGCTTATGAGCGGTGCATCCTTAAATCATGGAGATCCCACAGAATGAAAATGGAACTTGAGATCATTGCACCCCTGTTGAAAGAAGAAATGTGCGGAGCTCCACCGTTCCTGGTTAGGGGGCTGCTGTGAGGCTCTCAGAAAAGGCAGGATGCGGCTCGCACCTGGCACTATTTTGAATTCGGAAGTCCACGTGTTCAGAATCGACTCGTAAAACTATTCAATATAGCGTGGCTCGCGTTACTGTCACGTATGAACTCCAGTCAGCCGGACACCTCCTCCCACTAGATTCTTATAGCCTCCCCATATCCGACTCATCCCAGGGCCAAGCCAGGTCATTCCTGGGCTCTTGCGTGGCCGTCATTTGGGACCAGTAAGTAGTCAATCTCCCATCTTCTTGGAGAATTTCCAGCAGGATCAATCGCCAACCGTTTCCTTGATGTGTTTGATCACTGGGCTCAGGAGGAGTCAGGCCCAGACGCGGACGAAGTCCATCCCCACAACATGACAGCTCGTACGACCATCGATCTCCCTAGCTCCGCCTGTATTGACCGTCGATCTGTTTCCTCCCACGGTCGCCGCTTTCCTGACTGTGAGGAGGCCAAATCTACAAGACACGGACTGGGACATGCATTTCTGCATTCAGGGAATTCAAGGTTCAGCATTCTCATCACTTTGAATCTCTCAACCTCGGAGACCCATATCCCAGGAGCTCCCTTCGTATAAACCTCCTCCGTCGAGGTTATTCGAGCTACTTTAGTGAAATCCGTAAGGCCAAACTTCCCGTTTGCCTTGTCTGCATCTTCCAAATCTCTCACAATGGCCACCGCCATGAGTGCCACGATCAGCCGTGGAGTTACCAGCCAGCTCAGCCATGGCATCTCCAGCTCTCAGAAGAAGGCCGATGCCTCCAAGCTCATGGTTGCCGGCTTCGAGGGTCTCCGATCCGGCCGGGCAATGCCAGGCAATGTCGCGGCTCAGACCCCTTCCCTGGCTTCAACCGTCGCTAAGGCGGTGTCAGCCGGCAAGGAGGAGGCTGGATCCGCCAAGGGAATGATCAAGTGCGAGGTGGAGCCTGGAATGAAGCTCGTCTTCGTGTCGGCTGAGGTCGCTCCCTGGAGCAAGACTGGCGGTCTTGGCGACGTGTTGGGTGGTCTGCCTCCTGCTCTTGCGGTAAGTAGATCACTTGCACGCAAAATCATTCATTTCATCTCTAATCTTCGCATATTGCTCGATGTCATATTGCCTTCGTGCTCTGTTGCTACTGTTTCTGATTACATAACTGACCGGTGCTCGTGTTCCTTGTTTTTCCTGGCAGGCCCGCGGTCACCGTGTGATGACTGTTTCCCCTCGCTACGACCAGTACAAGGATGCCTGGGACACTGACGTCACCCTTGACGTAAGCTCGAGTCTCTATCCTTCCTTTCGCACAGTAGAAACTCGCTTGCCACGAGACTCCTCTCTACCAACCTCCACTGATGCCTTCCACCTCCTCGACCTTCACTCATTCGAACCACGACTTTTCCGCCATTAACTCCGCCTTTCACGCCTTCGCCATATCTCCTTCCGTCCTGCAGGTGAAGGTTGGCAACCGCGTGGAGACGGTCCGCTTCTTCCACTGCTACAAGCGCGGCGTGGACCGCGTATTCATCGACCACCCGCTCTTCCTCGCCAAGGTCTACGGCAAGACCGGCAGTAAGGTCTACGGCCCCGTCGCCGGAACCGACTATCAAGACAACCAGCTCCGCTTCAGCCTCTTCTGCCAGGCCGCTATTGAGGCCCCGCGGATCCTGAACCTGAACAACAGCGAGTACTACTCGGGGCCCTATGGCGAGGATGTGGTGTTCGTAGCCAACGACTGGCACAGCGCGCTCGTCCCGTGCTACCTGCGGGCGTTCTACAAGCCGTACAACCAGTTCTCCAGCGCGAAGGTGGCCTTCTGCACGCACAACATCGCGTACCAGGGCCGCTTCCCCATCGACGACTTCAACCTGCTCAACCTCCCCGAGGGCTTCCGCGACTCGTTCGCCTTCTACGACGAGTCCGACAAGCCCGTGAAGGGCCCCAAGATCAACTGGCTCAAGGCTGGTTTTCAGGAGGCGGATCTGGTGCTCACTGTGAGCCCGAACTACGCTGCGGAGTTGAAGTCCGGGCCGGCCAAGGGTGTTGAGCTGGACGATGTGATCCGGGAGGTGGGGTGCCGCGGGATTGTGAACGGGATGGACACCACGGAGTGGGACTCGAGCGAGGACAAGTACCTCGACACGCCCTATGACATCTCCAACGTGAGTGCTCTCGAGAGGACCTGGTTTCAGATCTTGCCCCAAGGAATAAAATACTGGGAATTTAACGGGTGGAAACATGAATCTTGGACGGGGTCACACTTTCTGATCTCGTCTGCGCGTCTACCTCCAGCGGATTCATCGCGAAGTGCTAAGAATTCCCCAACTCTTAGGGTGAATCTGTTTCGCGCGTGAATCTCACCGTCCTCCTCCTCCACCCCCCATCAGGTCCTGGAGGTCAAGCCGCTCCTCAAGGAGTCCCTCCAAGCCGAGGTGGGTCTGCCCGTGCGCCCAGACGTGCCGCTCTTCGCCTTCATCGGGCGCCTGGAGGAGCAGAAGGGCTCCGACATCCTCTCCGCCGCCCTCCCGGAAATTCTCAAGGAGGACGTGCAGGTGATCGTGCTGGGCACTGGCAAGAAGTACTTGGAGAAGCAGCTCGAGCAGCTCGAGGT